CTTTAGGCTGCCAGCCCTGGGGAGGTCAGAAGATAGGTGATATCACTATTCGTATTTGCAGGCAGTGCTTTGCCCACAGCTAGCACTCTGTAAATGCCTTGTGTTCATTAAGAGCTATTTCCATTGTACTTATTTTTGGTATTTAGTTCTTAACATATCCATTCCATCATGACCTTTGTTAACTGCTGACACATGGAGTGTGCTCAAAACAAATGGGCTTTTGTCTCCTATTGTCCTTTTAAATGTGTTTGTGGAAGGTAATCATCCCTGCCCTTGAATGGAAAATTGGGCAGAACTCTGGCTTCTCTGCTGACTCTTTATTTTTTTTATTTGTTCGTTTAGAGACAGAGTCTGGCTTTGTTGCCCAGACCGAAGTGCAGTGGTGAAATCATAGCTAACTGCAGCCTTGAGCTCCTGGCCTCAAGCAATCCTCCCACCTTGGCCTCCCAAAGTGCTGGGATGACATGTGTAAGCCACCACACCTGGACCAGACTGTACATTTTTTTTAGACTGTTTTTTTTTTTTTTTTGAGACAGAGTTTCCCTCTTGTCACCCAGGCTGGAGTGCAATGGCATCATCTTGGCTCACTGCAACCTCTGCCTCCTGGGTTCAAGTGATTCTCCTGCCTCAGCCTCCCGAGTAGCTGGGCTTACAAGCACTCACCACCATGCCCGACTAATTTTTGTATTTTTAGAAGAGACTGGGTTTCGCCATGTTGGCCAGGCTGGTCTTGAACTCCTGACCTCAGGTGATCCACCCCCACTCAGCCTCCCAAAGTGCTGGGATTACAGGTGTGAGCCACTGCGCTCCACTGACTGTACATTTTTTAGTGAGCATCTTTATCTTTCTTTTTAGAGACAAGCTTCCACCTGTTGCTCAGTCTGGTCTCAAACTCCTGGACTCAAGGGATCCTCTTGCCTCAGCCTCCCCAGCATCAGGGACTACAAGAGTATGCCCTGTGTCCTGGCTAGAACATCTTTGACTACACAGCAAGAGGACAAGGACCTGTCTTGACTTCCTTGGTGTCAATATTGCTCAGTTTTAAATGATCAGGTTTCAAAAACCTTTCATCTCAAATTCTTGAATGATACTGCACTGCTATTTTATATTTGTTTGAATTTATTTTCTTAAACAGTTTAACTCAAGTGCTAAAAAGGAAGCTATCGTCCCAAGAAAACTTTGAAATTTCCTGAAATGAATGAATTCTCTAGGACCTCAGCATAAATAAAATAACAGGCTTAGGTTCATGAATAAGGAAACTATATGTAAAGTCAAGACTCTTTATGTTGTAAGTGACAGAAACCTACCTTGAACTAATGTAAGCAAAAACGAGGATACTGGCACATGTAAGTGGGAAGAAGAGTTAGTCTTGATCGCAGGCTAAATGAATCCCAGCTCCCCTCACTCCCCTCCACGGGTACCCTTTGGCTGTAGTGGGCATCTTCCATGTGCTGGGGGAAGCAGCTTCTGATGGCCCAAGCACACTCTCCTAGCACTGTCACTTCAGAAGCAAGAGGTCACCTTCTTCAGCGGCTCCATGAGAAAAGTCCTGGAGAACAGCACCAAAGCCTTCGCTGAAGTCAGGCAAACAGCCGAGATGACAGGAGGAGGGAGACACACGCCAGGCCTCCAGGAGACAAAGGGCCATTCCAGCAGCCCACAGGCATTGGAACCCCACTGCCACTAAGAAGAAAGGAAAGCTATAGTCGGCTGGATGTGTTACTGATGTATCACCTTTTCTCACCTTTACTCCCTCCCTTTCACTTCCCTTGGTGGCGTCTATGCTAGATAGTGACAGATACTGTTAGGAGCTGTAAACTAAAGCTAAACTCCTAAACCCCCCACTGACTGAATGGACCCCCTCATGGCTAAGGGGACCCCAGAGAAACCTGAAAAGTTGAGTTCTTGGCCATGACGGGAAGGGAGGTCAGAGGGGCCTAGTCAGATGGGCCTACGACCTCTATTTCAACATTAATGCCAGTGTCTAACTCCAAAAGGAGTTAATGTTGAAATAGTGGTCGTAGGACTGACAAGACGGACTCTTTGTGACAGTAAGATGCCAAATTCTAAACAGGACATAAGCCGACACAGGCAAGGGTTAAGTCACACACTCCTACAGGTCATTCTGACCCAATGTATTTATTGGTTAGCACAGGGGTCTCCAGCCCTGTGTTAGGATCCGGGCTGCACTGCACCGGTAAGGGGCAGGCGAACTTCCTCTGTATTTATACCCGCTCCCCTTCGCTCACATTACCGTCTGAGTGCCACCTCATGTCAGATCAGCAACAGCATTAGAGTCTCACTGAAGTGTGAACTCTATTGTAAATTGTAGGTGTGAGGGATCCAGGTTGCGCGCTCCCTATGAGAATCTAATCCCTGATCATTTGTCACAGTCTACCATCACCCCCAGAAGGGACCGTGTACGTTGCAAGAAAACAAGCTCAGGGCTTCCACTGATTCTACATTATGGTGAGTTGTATAATTATTCCATCATATATTACAACGTAATAATAACAGAAATAAAGTGCACAATAAATGTAAAGCACTTGAATCTCCCAAAACCATCCTCCCAACCCAGTCCCTGGAAAAAACTGTCTTCAATGAAACCAGTCCTGGTGCCAAAAAGGTTGGGGACCACTGGGTTAGCAGGCTTCTTTATTGCAACTTAACATTCTTTCCGAAGACGCCAAATATTTAAACAAAGCTTTACTTGCTAACCAATTGCAAATTAAAGAGTCTTTTGGCTCATGCTTGCAATCCCAGGACTTTGGGAGATCAAAGCAGGCAGGAGGTCAGGAGTTCAGGAGTTCGAGATCAGCCTGCCCAAAATGGTGAAACCTCATCTCTACAAAAAAATACAAAAACTAGCCAGATGTGGTTGTGTAAGCCTGTACTCCCAGCTACTTGGGAAGCTGAGGCACAAGAATCACTTGAACCTGGGAGGTGGAGGTTGCAGTGAGTGGAGATAATTCCACTACACTCCAGCCTGGGTGACAGAGTATGTCCCTGTCTCAAAAAAAAAAAAAATCTCTGAACCCACCTACAACCTGTAAGCCAAGGTCATAGGTGCTTCAAGATGTCCTACATTTTTGGGCCAAACCAATGAATAAACTTCATGTATTGATTTATGACTTTGCCTGTAACCTGTACTTCCCTAAAATGCATAAAACGAGTTGAGACCTAATAGCCTCGGAACTCCCTTTTTTTTTTTTTTTTTTTGAGACAGAGTCTCGCTCTGTTGCCCAGGCTGTAGTGCAGTGACACGATTTTGGCTTACTGCAACCTCTGCCTCCCAGGTTCAAGCTATTCTTCTGTCTCAGCCTCCCAAGTAGCTGGTACTACAGGCACCTGTCACCACGCTGGGCAAATTTTTTCTATTTTTAGTAGACAGGGTTTCATCATGTTGGCCAGGCTGGTCTTAAAATCCTGACCTCAGGTGATCCACCCACCTTGGCCTCCCAGAGTGCCTGAACTCCTGAGCTCAGGTGATCCACTGGCCTCCCAAAGGGCTGGGATTACAGGTGTGAGCCATTGCGCCCAGCCCCAATTGATATATTAAAATTATAATCCCCAGTACCTCAGAATGGGACCGTATTTGGAGACAAGGCCTTTAAAAAGGTAATTCAGATAAAAGGAGATCGTTAGGGTGGGCCTAATCCAATATGACCAGTGTCCTTACAAAAATGAGGTGGGGACATAGAAATGCAAGATAGGTCACATGAGGTCACAGGGAGGAGGCAGGCTGCAAGCCAAAGAGAGAGGCCTCTGAAAACCAACACTTCTGTTGCTTGATCCGGAACTTCCACCCTCAGGCTGTGAGGAAAGAAATTTCTGTTGTTTAAGCCCCTGCCTGCTGTACTCTGTTATGGCAGCTCAAGCAAACCAGGTCAGATGCAGTGACACCCAGGAGAAAATGAAGTCTTGGGAAAGGAACCTGCAGGTGAATCGCTGTCTCTTTTGAATTTCCTGGCACAAAGACGGGCGGCATGCTCTGCCACAGCTCAGCTTGGTGCCAAGCTCCACTCTGCAGGAGGCCGGGGGGCAGAGGGAGGGGGCAGAGATGCTGACTGCTGAGGTCCATCTGCTTGGAGGAGGAAGCCCTGTGGCTTGCAGCATGTAATTGGGGCTGAGTCACAGTACCAGAGCCACCCTGCTCAGCCCAAAAAGCAGAGCAGATGGCCCCAGAGAAGAGCAGCAGGAGAGGTTCATTTGCCCCTCTCTGCCTCTAGGCAGGCACCACACAGAGCAGACTGTCAGGGCACCCTCATTTGCAGGGCCAGGGCCAGGGCATGGAGAGGGGGCACTCATCTCAGGCATGAAAGCTTAGGGGGCTCCAACTGCTCAGCAGTCAGGATGAATCATCCTTTAATGCAATATTGTTAAAAATCTACATGAGTGTAAACACATTCATGATGAACAAAATGTTTCTGATATTTCCTTTTGCCTCAGGGATCCAATGTGGTTAGCTTAGAGCTTTTACGGATCCTGCCTTTATTTAAAATTGTATTTTTTATCATGAATTTTTTTGTATTAACTTTGCTCTTAAGAATTGTTGCATTCGCTGGACACAGTGTCTCACGCCAGTAATCCCAGTACTTTGGGAGGCCAAGGCAGGCAGATCACCTGAAGTCAGGAGTTTGATATCAGCCTGGCCAACATGGTGAAACCCCATCTTTACTAAAAATACAAAAATTAGCCAAGCGTGGTGGCAGGCGCCTGTAATAACAGCTATTCAGGAGGCTGAGGCAGGAGAATCACTTGAACCCTGGAGGTGGAGGTTGCAGTGAGCCAAGATCGCACCGTTGCACTCCAGCATGGGCAACAGAGCAATACTCTGTCTAAAAAAAAAAAAAAAAAAAAAAAAATACTGCATTAAAATATTTGTCTTCAGTTTCATTCACTATATGCACACACACATTATAGATGAATACAGGTTTTAAAAATGGCCGTCTACAGTCCAATTAACAGTAATGTCCTGATGTCAGTTTCCTGGTTTTGATTTTGTACTATAAGATATCATCATTGGGGAAGTTGGGTATACCAATGTTGCGATTTTCTGTAAGTCTATAATTATTTCAAAATTAAAATTTTTGCAGGAGAGTAGCACGTACTTTTAGTCCCAGCTACTCAGGAAGCCGAAGCTGGAGGATCCCTTGAGCCTACAGTGTCAAGCCTGCAGTGAGCTATGATTGCACCACTGCACTCCAGACTGGTGACCCAGTCTCTTTTTTAAAAATTGAAAATATTGCCAGGCGCGGTGGCTCACACCTGTAATCCCAGCATTTTGAGAGGCCAAGGCGGGCAGATCACAAGGTCAAGAGATTGCGACCAGCCCGAACAACATGGTGAAACCCTGTCTCTACTAAAAAATACAAAAATTAGCTGGGCGTGGTGGCGCGCGCCCGTAGTCCCAGCTACTCAGGAGGCTGAGGCAGGAGAATTGCTTGAACCCAGGAGGCGGAGATTGCCGTGAGCAGAGTTTGCGCCATTGCACTCCAGCCTGGCGCCTGGCAGCAGAGCGAGACTCTGTCTAAAAAAAAAAAAAAAAAAAAAATAATTGAAAATATATTTATTTTATAAATTACTGAATTTAGGGGCACCCAGGTCAATTTGAGCCAACAATGAGCATCTTACTTGCATCTGCCAGTCCTAGCCTTGCATGTTCTGCTCTCAAACCGTGGGGGACATCAGCCAAGACTCTCACCTCGCTCAGCAAAGCGCAGACATTTAGCTTTCCCTTGGGCAGTCCACAAACCCATCAGCCTGCCCCAGTCCACCAGCTAATTCTGCCCCCAGGGACACTCCTTCCCTGCTACCTGGCCCTTCCCCTCTCCGTAAACCCCCTGTGTGGAACGTTCAAGCATGAGCAGCAATCAGATAGGCTTTGCTTTTCTTCTTTTTTGTTCTTCAACCAGTTCAGTTCAATTTCCATGAAAAGTGCTCAGGGTGTAAATAATGTCACATCTCATGTTAAATTTCAGTTGTGAGTCAGGGCCTGGGGTTTTGACAAGCGCCCAGGTGATTCCAGTGTGGAAGTTGAAGTAGAGAACCACCCCTGGAGCCAGTTCTTGACTTTGGGCACACATTAGAATCTTCTAGGGCCGTTAGAAAGGCAGATTTTCTGATGCGCCCTGGACTTGCTGAATCAGAAACCCTGGGAGTGTGCCCAGCCATCTGTGCTTGCAAAGCCCTCCAGGCAATTCTCATGCTTGCTGAGGGTTGAGGACCACTGATATAGAACTTTAAAAAAATAGGATGCTTGGAGCCATACTCAGAGATGCCGGTCTCATTGGTCCGAGTTACCGTCCTGCTGTCCCACATAGAGAAAGTTCCTTGGGTCATTCTACTGAGTGCTGGGGTGAGAGCCGCTGCTCCACTGATCACTCGGTGATCAGCCGAGTCTCCATTCCTGGTTCTCCAGCACAGTGCTTCTCCGAGTGCTTATGTTTCTTACAGAGAAACCAAAGATTTGGTTGCTTCCTTAAGCAACAATCCAACGAGTAAAGAGGAAATAAAGTGCTTTCGAGAAAATGCCATTCTAAGCACCACGGCATCCAGGAGGCCCCTATGCTGTGTACGCTTTGATTTGTGTGAATTTATTTTGCCTATTCTTCTCTTCTCTTTGTGCAACTCTGGCAGGGTGAGAAAACTTCAAAAAGATATAAGAAAAGTTGTTCTCAAGTGGTCTGGGGCACGACCTTTTTGCTCGATAGAATTCAAATCTCCGTCTGGGGATATCATTTACTCCTGATAAAATGCTTAAGAACTTTTCTCCCCCCACTGGCTGCTCTGAAAAGCCATCTTTGCATTGCTCCTCGTCCGACTCCTTGCTCGCCGCAGCTGCCTCCACCGCGCGCCTCCTTGGCCCTCGCAGACTCCGGCAGCTTTATCGCCAGAGTCCTTGAACTCTCTCTTTCTTTTTAATCCCTCGCATCGGATCACCGGCGCGCCCCACCATGTCAGACGCAGCGGTAGACACCAGCTCCGAAATCACCACCAAGGACTTGAAGAAGAAGGAAATTGTGGAACAGGCGGAAAATGGAAGAGACGCCCCTGCTAACGGGAATGTGAATGAGGACAATGGGGAGCAGACGGCTGACAATGAGGTAGATGAAGAAGAGGAAGAAGGTGGGAAGGAAGAGGAGGAGGAAGAAGAAGGTGATGGTGAGGAGGAGGATGGAGATGAAGATGAGGAAGCTGAGTCTGCTACGGGCAAGCAGGCAGCTGAAGATGATGAGGATGATGATGTCGATACCAAGAAGCAGAAGACCGATGAGGATGATTAGACAGCAAAAAAGGAAAAGTTAAACTAAAAAAAAAAAAAGGCCGCCGTGACCTATTCACCCTCCACTTCCGGTCTCAGAATCTAAACGTGGTCACCTTCGAGTAGAGAGGCCGGCCCGCCCATCGTGGGCAGTGCCACCGGCAGATGACACGACGCGCTCTCCACTACCCAACCCAAACCGTGAGAATTTGCAACAGGGGAGGAAAAAAGAACCAAAACTTCCAAGGCCCTGCTTTTTTTCTTAAAAGTACTTTAAAGAGGAAATTTGTTTGTATTTTTATTTACATTTTATATTTTTGTACATATTGTTAGGGTCAGCCATTTTTAATGATCTCGGATGACCTAACCAGCCTTCAGAGCGTTCTCTGTCCCACTTCCGACTTTACTTGTGGTGCGACCATGTTCATTATAATCTCAAAGGAGAAAAAAAACCTTGTTAAAAAAAGCGAAAACGACAACAGAAAAGCAATCATATTCCGAGCATTCCAGTACCTTTCTTGTGTGTGTACTTAGCTGTACTATAAGTAGTTGGTTTGTAGCAGATGGTTAAAAGGCCAAAGATTAAAAGGTTTCCTTTTTTTCCTTTTTTGTCTACGAAGTTGCTGTTTATTTATTTATTTATTTTTGGCCTGTTTGATGTATGTGTGAAACAATGTTGTCCAACAATAAACAGGAATTTTATTTTGCTGAGTTGTTCTAACAACAACAACAAAAAAAATCTCATTAGATTTAGAAAGATGTGTCCTGAGAAAGCAGTCACCAACTTGCTGTCAGTCACACACAGAGGTTCTGGAAACCAAACACATTGACCTTTCTGTATCCGGCCTCATACTAATTATCTTAACATTTTATTCCTGGACGCAGTAGTGTGCACCTGTAGACCCAGCTACATGGGAGGCAGAGGCCAGGAGTTTGATACCTTGAGGGCAGGAATTCAAGGCTGCAGTGTGTTATGATCTGCCTGTGAATACTCACTGCACTCTGGCTCAGGCAATCACAGTGAGACCCCATTTCTGGGAAAAAAAAAATTCTTAGCCAACACGTGAAATATAGCTGCCAGGCAGCTTCTCTCTTACAACAATATTATAATAAAATTTTATATGGGAATACAGGTGCACACCACCACACCTAGCTATTTTTTGTTGTATGTTTTATAGAGATGAGGTTTTGCCATGTTGCCCAAGCTGGTCTCAAACTCCTAGACTCAAGCTATCTGCCTGCCTCAAGCCTCCCAAAGTGTTGGGATAACAGGCATGAGCCACTTTTCTGGCCTGAAAAGTTGTTTTTTTGTTTTGTTTTGTTTTTGAGACGGAGTCTTGCTCTGTCACCCAGGCTAGAGTGCAATGACACAATCTTGGTTCACTGCAATCTCCGCCTCCCGGGTTCAAGCGATTCTCCTGCCTCAGCCTCCTGAGCATCTGGGACTACAGGCACCCTGCCACCATGCCTGGGTAATTTTTGTGTTTTTCAGTAGAGACAGGGTGTCACTATGATGGTCAGGCTAGTCTTGAACTCCTGACCTCCTGATCCACCTGCCCTGGCTTCCCAAAGTGCTGAGATTACAGGCATGAGCCACTGTGCTCAGCCTGAAAAGTTTTTAATGCAAGTTATATAAATATTGTATTTACTGAAACCAATTTTATGCAAGGCAAACAACAAAAGAAGTATAAATAGCAGTAAGTGATCATCCCCACTGAATTCCACTTCCCAAAGGGAGGATGACTGATTCTATGAGGTGTGTGTCTCACCACCTTTTATTCATTCATTCATTCATTTATTCACCATTCAGTAGTCCAATATTTAATCAATCACCTATACTGTTCCATGCTGAGCGTGGGGATGCAGCTGTGCATGAGATAAACACAGTTTTTAAACTCATGAATCTTACATAAATGATAAATACAAACTCTCATACACAATTGGTTGAGCAATTACTAAAAGAAACTATTGGCTCAGCTTTCTTTTCTGCTATAGATTTACCAAGGAAGGTTAAAAACATCTTTCCCTGTCCCCATGGAGAGCAGGAATGAGCTGTGCTGTCCTCTCCCCGCTCCCACTCTTTCCACTCCATTTCTGGTCCCCTGCCCGATTTGCTAGGATCACTGGGGGATTAAGGTGTATTGCCCTGGACAAGGATCAGATAAGATAAAAGTGGGCTGGTTGTGGGAGGGAGTTGGAGAGGGTGGAAAGTGAAGAAGTGAGATTCCTCACCAGAGAAAGAGAGCAAGAGAGAAGGGACGGTGTTGGCAACCACTGGAGGTGATAGTGACCAAGCCCATTGCACATAGCACACCATGGGGACAAAATTTGAAGGTTGCCTAAGGAGCTAGCATAGTAGGGAGTCTGGTTCCCAGTCCCCCTGCCCAAGCCTGGGATCAGAGCAGACCTTTGGAAGTGGCAGCTAGAGGTCTAGCAGTGCATGCCTAGCTGTGGCCAGGGTGGACTCAAAGCCAGAGCCACTTCCTCACTTCCTCTGGACTAATAACACAGGACTCCTGCATGGCCGAGGCAAACACAGTGAGCATCTGTGCTCTGGGCAGTGCCAGCTGAGCACAAGGTGTTATTTGATTTAAGAAAATAAAATATGATGTTTCCTGCATCTAGGTGTTGCGAAGCAAATTTGTGCCCACTGGATACACACACACACACACACACAGACAGACAGACATCAAACACACACAAGCACACTCATAAAGTTTCTAGTTTTGTTGATCAGCTCCTAACTGCATTATCATTATTTTTACAGCACAGGGACTAAAACTGGACTGGAAGCTTCTTTCACTAACAATAGGGCTTGTGGCTGCTTTCATGGAACATGTGCACTCTCAGTAAGAATGTTGAGGCCAGGCACGGTGGCTAGCACCTGTAATACTAGCGCTTTCGGAGGCTGAGGCAGGCAGATCACCCGAGGTCAGGAGCTCGAGACCAGCCTGGCCAAAATGGTGAAACCCTATCTCTACTAAAACTACAAAAAAATTAGTCAGGGGTAGTGGCAGGCCCCTGTAATCCCAGTTACTTGGGAGGCTGAGGCAGGGGAATTGCTTGAACGCGGGAGGCAGAGGTTGCAGTGAGCCGAGATCGTGCCACTGCACTCCAGCCTGGGCGACAAGAGAGAAACTCCGTCTAAAAAAAAAAGAGACAAAATGTTGAAGCAGTTTACTACAAAACAGATCCTGTGTCCTTCACAAAGCCTGAACTCTCTGGGCGATATTCATGGCTGCATGACACAGCTTAGTGTGATTAAATGGGTTCCTAAAGATGTAATTTTTATACAGCAATCCCAGGGTCACTTTGAGGGGTCAAAAGATCATGAGAGGATCAAGTTGGAGTGGGCCATCCCTCCTGAATTAAAGAAGCCCTGCTTTAAAACAAAACAAAACAAAACACCACTACTGAGGGATAATTTACATGCACACACAAAATGTACTCTTATTTATAAAAATAATAATACTACCACACAGGGTTATTGAGAGGATTACATTCAATGAGGTCAGATATCTAAAATGTAGAGCAAGCTCTCTAAAAATGGTATTCCTCTCCCATCCCCGGCTTGGGAGAAAGGAGAGCCTGCCGGAAGGACACTCTGGCCCTGTTTAGCTCAGCGGACCAGATGTACATGAGTAATTCCCAATCAGTATCACTCTGCGAGCCGTCTGTGAGCTTAGATAATTTAGCCCAAGTGCATATTGTCTGGTTCAAACCGTGTTCTGTGGGCTTTCACTTATTTCTAATCATGCTCTAAAATGATCCTTTTGAATTAACGATTCAAAGCTCCAAATTATCCTAGGTTATCTTTAGCCTGGTTGGGGACATTAGAGATAAAGAGACCGAGTTGGCTGCTTGCTTGGTAATGGAAAGTTCCTACCAGCAAACTGCTGGAAGCTTCTAGAGAAACAGGTTCATCAGAACTTGGGGCAGGGTTAATGAGATTTACATTATACCAGACTTCTTCTGGGAAAGGCAGTGGCTTTTTCTAAGCCCTTTGCCACAGATTCTGAAGACCTGTGCTGTCAAATCTCACTCCGTGGGAGTCCCGGAAAACAGAGATATTGGAGCATGCAGCAACTTGGACAGTAACCACCTGGAGCACCTGGAAAAACAACAGAGCCTGGAAAGGCCACGTCAAGTCTAACAAGGACCAGGAGACCAGGTCCAAGAAGGAGAAGACTGGAGTGTTGCAATATTCATAGTTCCGCCAAGAGTTCTGTGCAAATCCCTTGGGAGCTTGATATCTTCATCTGTAATGAAGGGGTTGGACTGAGGTCACTTTTAGCTCTGACAAACTATAATTTTGTGATACTGATTAATCCATGAACATCAGGTGCTGGGAACTTGGCTGCCCCGTCAGATTTCTGATGCACATAGAGCCCCGTGTGAAGTAACTGATGACACAGGCTGGGAGGATTTGTGAGGCAAATGACAAAAGTCATGAAGCTGGCATTGGGGTGGGGAGGGTAGATCCATTTTTGATCTGCTCTATTTCAGGTAAAGTTAAGCCCTTTCCATATACATTATTGAAGGCACATGGAATACAAAACTGGAGGTTTGGTAGAGAAGCCACAACTAGAAGTCATGCTGGGGATCACTGGCAAACGAGATTCAACAAATATTTATTGAGCACCCAGTAGTGCAAATAAATAGTCATCCATGCAATCAACAAACATTTATTTAACATTGATTACGTGTCAATACCACTACATGTACTGTGGAAAAATAAAAAAGAAAGGAGGCACAGACTTATTTGTCAGGAATTTGCAATAAAAGTAGCATTTGAATAAGACACAAAGAATTATGTGACAGGCTGATATAAGATGAGTTCCATATGAGAAACATGGTGATTTGGGGGACTGAAGCAAGTGGATGGAATTGCGGCATCAGGGGGACTTCAGGAAGGAAGTGGTGCTTGAAACAGGCTTTGAAGAAAGCATAGTGTTAACTCAGTGGAAAGGGGGACTGGAGAGGGCATTTCACAGAGAGGAAACTGTAAGTGAATATCCACCTGCACTGGGAAGGTTTGCAGCATTCTGCATGACTAGCAAGAATGCCGGTTGGAATGTGAGCACAGGTTATAAAGGAGCAGTGGGAATGAAGCTTTGGGTGGAGAGAGGTTTGGGTAGATAGTGCTGAAGGCTGAAGAGTTTCCTTATTTGGGGACATATTAGGAGGGCATCAGTCTCCTGTTCTGTGCAGGTGTGTGTATGGTGGACTGAGCGCTTAGCCTTAATAGTATTTATCTGGCTCTGCTGGGCAGACCAGATTAGAGTTTGAGATAAGATCCAGGTGAACTTCTAAGTTCTAAGATTGGATGAACCCAGAGAGGGGTAAAGGCTGAGAGGAGAGAATTGAAGTCTGGGGTTGGGCGCAGTGGCTCACACCTGTAATCCCAGCACTATTGGGAGGCTGAAACAGGCAGATCACTTGAGGTCAGGAGTTTGAGACTAGCCTGGCCAACATGGTGAAACCCCATCTCTACTAAAAATACAAAAATTAGCCAGGTGTGGTGGCAGGCACCTGTAATTCCAGCTACTTGGGAGGCTGAGGCAAGAGAATCACTTGATCCCGGGAGGCAGAAGTTGCAGTGAGCTGAGATAATGCCACTGCACTCCAGCCTGGGGCACAGAGTGAGATTCTGTCTTAAAAAAAAAAAATTAAGTCTGGGAATAATTTTTTTTTTTAAGAGACAGGGTCTTACTCTGTCCCCCAGGCTGGAGTGCAGTGGTATGATCATAGCTCACTGCAGCTTTAACCTGCTGGGCTCAGTGATCCTCCCACTTTATCCTCCCAAGTAGGCAGGACTGCAGGCATGTGCCATCATGCCTGGTTAATATTTTTAAAATATTTTGTAGAGCCGGGGTCTTGCTGTATTGCCCAGGCTGGTCTCTAACACCTGGGTTCAAGTGATCCTTCCAAAGTGCTGGCATTACAGGCATGAGCCACTTCGCTAAGCCTGGATTGATTTTTAGAGACAGTCAAAGTGGCAGGGCCAATGTAGAAGGCAGAGGCACAGAAGCTAGAAGCTGGACACATCCACTCCACTATTTCCAGGCCCAGAAACAAACCATCAAGGTGGGGAGATAAATGGAAACCTTCATGGTCTTCAAGCCTAACTCACATTCCTATCAAATTCAGGAAAACACAGAACTACGGTCCACAGCAAAAAGTTGTGGACTCAGAGATCTGGCTCAGCTTCAAGACCTCAGTTTTTACCCATAAAATGGGGAGAGTATTAGGAAGACCCATGAGTTAATGTATTTAAACTAGTAGGCACTTAATTCCTCCAGCTGAGTCACAAGTATGAAAGACTTCCTAACTGCATGCAGTCTGTTCTACGAAAAATCAGGTCATGTTTTCGTCAATACGGGTTGAGCATCCCTTATCCAAAATGCACAAGACCAGAGTGTTTCAGATTGTGGACTGATACGGTTTGGCTGTGTCCCTACCCAAATCTCATCTTGAATTGTAGCCCCCATGATTCTCATGTGTTGTGGGAAGGACCCTGTGGGAGATAATTGAATCATGGTGGGGGTACAAGTCAAGTTCCCCCATACTGTTCTCATTGTAGTGAATAAGTTTCATGGTGTCTGATGGTTTTAGAAGGGGAACCCCTTTTCGCTTGGCTCTCATTCTCTCTTCCCTGCCGCCATGTGAGACGTGCCTTTCACCTTCTGCCATTATTGTGAGGCCTCTCTAGCCATGTGGAACTGTAAGTCTGTTAAACCTCTTTTTCCTTATAAATTACCCAGGCTCAGGTATGTCTTTATTAGCAGCATGAGAACAGACTAATACATGGGCTTTTTCAGATTTTGGAATATTTCCTTATACATAATGACATATCTTGAGGATGGGACCCATCTCTAAACACAAAATTTATTTATGTTTTATATTCACATTATATACATAACCTGAAGGTAATTTTAGACAATTTTTTAAAAATTTTTGAGAGAGAGTCTCACTCTGTTGCCCAGGCTGGAGTGCAATGGCACAATCTGGGCTCACCAACATCTGCCTCCCAGGTTCAAGAGATTCTCCTGCCTCAGCCTCCTGAGTAGCTGGGATTACAGATGCCCACCACCGCACCTGGCTAATTATTGTATTTTTAGTAGAGACATGGTTTTGAGATGTTGACCATGCTGGTCTCAAACTCCTGACCTCAGGTGATCCACCCACCTCAGCCTCCCAAAGTGTTGGGATTACAGGCATGAGTCATTGCACCTGGCTCGTTTTATACAATATTCTTAATAATTTTGTGCATGAAACAAAGTTTGTGTACACAGAACTGTCAGAACCAAAGGGGTCACTATCTCTACCCCCATATGGACTGCCCCCCCCAGTATGTGGTTGTTCAACATCACCATCACGTCTGACTCTGAATTTTTATGCTACTGATAAGCAATCATGTTTTTACACTTATCCATACATAAGTACTTAGTAAAATATATGACAAACTATTAATACAGTGAAAAATACTGTGTTCCAGGTAACTAAGCATCAGTAGCCTCCCCAGAACACCTGCATCAGCTGTGAGACAACAGCAACAAACAGAGGCAGGCGTCAGGCTCCTCCTACTGTGCTAAGTTCAATTCAAAGGTTCCTGTATTTTATTTTTTAGGTAGAAGAAACATCAGAAGTGGTTGAGGGACCAGGAAGTCGGTTCTCTAGGAATGAGGAGGCTCTACTGGGTGGCTTTTTAAAATGTTTCCTCCAGAGTCATCTGCCTCATTAACAGCTTTTGTCTTAGACCTCTCCCTTTGATTTTATACACTGCGTGATGATTTCTTTTTCTGTTATGAATCTGCACTGCTCTCGTCTTTCAATAAGCCCAGCGCATGTTTTCAGCATCTCAACAGGCACTTTTTCTGCAGTGTTAACAATGTCATCTTCCTCATCACTGTTAACACGATCACCTGGATTCAGAACCATTTCGGCAATTTCACCATTGGTCAATGAACGAATGACAGAAGCCTCACTATTGGTGTTAAAAATTCCAGGCCGGGCGTGGTGGCTCATGCCTGTAATCCCAGCACTTTGGGAGGCCGAGGCCAGTGGATTATGAGGTCAAGAGATCGAGGCCATCCTGGTCAACATGGTGAAACACGGTCTCTACTGAAAATACAAAAATTAGCTGGGCATGGTGGTGTGTGCCTGTAGTCCCAGCTACTCGGAAGGCTGAGGCAGGAGAATTGCCTGAACTCAGGAGGCAGAGGTTGCGGTGAGCCGAGATTGCGCCACTGCACTCCAGCCTGACGACAGAGCAAGACTCCGTTTGAATTAAAAAAAAAAAAAAAAAATTCCTTCGATATTCACTTCTTCCAGCTTATGGAAGGACTCTGAGGATATATACATTTTTCATATGTAAGGAGATTAGACATCATTTTTTCTCACTTGACATACAGAATCCTTCAAAGTCACCACCTTGTTCATCATCATCACTGAACATAGTCTCAAGCCAGAGGTTTGTGTGCACCACTGTGTCTATAGTCGCTGGGTTCCAGGCATTAGAAGCAGCTTATACAGCATCCCCACGCTAAACTCCTTTTGAAGACTTTCCGTACCCACATCTCTATTCACTGCTGCCAGCACGCTGTTCAGGAAAGTATTGTTGTTGGTGGTTTTTCTTTTTGAGATGGAGTTTTGCTCTTTTTGCCTAGGCTGGAGTGCAATGGCGTAATTTCAGCTCACCATAACCTCCGCCTCCCAGATTGAAGCGATTCTTCTGCCTCAGCCTACCAAGTAAGTGGGATTATAGGCCTGCACCACCACACCCAGCTAATTTTTTGTACTTTTAGCAAAGATGAGGTTTCTCCATGTTGGTCAGGCTGGTCTCGAACTCCCAATCTCAGCCTCCCAAAATGCTGAGTCTGCCCACCTCCACCTCCCAAAGTACTCGGATTATAGGTGTGAGCCACCAACGCCTGGCAGGAAAGTGTTTTTATATTTATTCCTGATTGATCTAAGGACACTCTGGTCATGTGGTTGAATTAAGTCACATTTTGGGAAAAGTACACAGCATAAACATTTTTAATGAGAATTTCAGCTGCGAAATGAACAGAATAGTTGTCAAGAAATCACAAAGTCTTACAGTTGTCGTCCAGTCTAGCTTCCCTGCGGTAAGCATGAGCCACTGGAACAAAACTGCTTGTGAAACAAATTAGAAAAGATGTCCCTGGGACCCATGCCTTTTTGTCAGCATAGCAATGGACTGGTAAGAAATTCACTCCTTGAAAATAGTGAGGACCCAAGCTTTTACCCATCACAGCAAGCTGACCCTAATGCATGCACAGCCCTGCACAGTTGCTCTGTCCTTAGCATCCTTAATACTTGGGGGCCTCCTCATCAGCTGCTGTCAGTCTCTTTCTGGGGTAATTATGCTAAAACAGTGAGATTTCATCAGCATTATAGACTTGTTCTGGCATCAGACTTCATCAGCATCGACCCTGGAAAACTTATCAATGAATTTCTCTGGTGTTTTGTGATCATCAGATGCTTTGTCACCACACGTCTTCAACAACTTTAATGCTGTGTCTTTAATTTCTGCAACCAGCCTGTTGGACATTCACAGTTCCCTTCAATTGCCAGTCCAAAGTGATAGATCTTTGCTTATTTCAAAATCAGCATACCATTAAGTAACAGGAGTTCATTGCCACACTGATGGATCCACTCTTTCTTTTTTTTTTTTTTTTCAGATAGAGTCTCTGTGGCCCAAGCTGGAGTGCAGGTGTGATCTCGGCTCACTGCAACCTCCACCTCCCAGGTTCAAGGGAGTCTCGTGCCTCAGCCTTCTGAGTAGCCGGGACTACAGGTGTGCTCCACCATGCCCAGCTAATTTTTGTATTTTCAGTAGAGATGGGGTTTCAATATGTTGACCAGGCTGGTCTCGAATTCCTGACCCCATGATCTGCCCACCTCAGGCTCCCAAAGTGCTGGGATTACAGGTGTGAGTCACTGCGCCCGGCCTGGATTCATGCTTTCAATAACGATTGAGATCTTCATTTTAGCCTTATGCACTGTTTTTCTATTTATCATTAGTGTCTTTTCATCACTTTCAGCATAGAACTTCCAGTTTATCCTTCTGTTTCCTCAGGTCGTCTATGGCATCCATTCTGACACCATCTCTTCCGTGAGGCACTTCACAACCACTTCCAGTTTCTCTAACAGCTTGACTTCTTGTGCTGCAGGTAAACATAAGTGCTTTCCCTTATCACTATTACGCACAGAGGTATCTGCAGGCCCTTTTAACATTTTCAACAATATCTCTGCACCACAGACCAGAGAATAAGCAAAAAAACACAGTGAGTGATGCATGCAGGTCTTGGCCCCATGTGGGGTACCTTGTGGAACCTGCATTTGGCCTGCACATATGCCATTTTCTCAGCCTTTGTGGGCATGGCTGGGGGGGGCAGGGATCTGGGTATGTACACTAAACATATATTGCAGCAGAAGGGGGCTAGGAGAGTCTGAAGGGTCTTTTCCCTCTCAGATGGGGATGGTAAATAAACTGTGTGTTGTACAATTGAGTTTTGACTGTGACCCTTCACATGGGCTCAGGTGTAGAATTTTCTACTTGTGGCATCATGTTGGTGCCCAAAAAGTTTTGGATCCTGGATTTTCAGATTAGGGATGCTTAGTCTGTATCAGCAAAATAACAAAACACAGTAAGCCTGCCCTCCCCAGAGTGCTATAAAGAAGTTGCACTGCTGAAATGTCACCAAGACAGTGGCCCAAGTATCAGAATCTAAAATAAGAAAAAATTCCAGAATGAACTGTATTCTGAAACCAAGAGCTTGGGCTTTCTGACCTTTTCCATTTTTAACTCCTATTTTGTATTCCAAATGCAATTCTCCCATCCCACCAGACACCGTAGCCTTTCTGCCTCCTCCTCGCCATGACATGGTGAGAAAAACCCGAGTGCAGTCATGATGAGCTGATGTTTGCAGAGGCGTTGGGAGTCTTGCTGGTGCATGCTTCGCAAACACAGGATATTATTTCTAAGCTGCTGCTTAAAGAAGGGAGAGACAGGGAGGAGAAGTCTCCTCGTGTTCTGGGGAAGCAGCAGGGAGCAGGTCAGGGGAACAGGAAATAACCAGCGATTTCCCAGAGCCTGGGAGAGAGCAGAGCCATGGGGGGGCTGAGGCTTTGAAGCTCATCTCAGCGAAGGGGGCGGCCCATATTTTCCACATTGCATTGGAGAGAGCAAAGCCTCCTGAGCAACTCAGTAATAAAGACAAAGATATTTTTGCAAATAAATTGTTGGCTGGAAGGCTCATGGGAGGTAAGCAGAGATCCTGGCAGCTCACCCTCTCCTGCTGGGAGTTCTGTGTATGTAAACTTCCTGGTGAGAATCTCCACCAGTTCCTCTTGACAGGCACCTTAGGGAGAGCCAGACCTTCAGTCTCCACGCCTCACACTGAGTTTGACACCAAAGGTCACAAAGCCATCAGCAAGAATCAGATTCTGTTGTCTTTGTTGTACAAAGCAAAAGGCGGGAGCCACCTCCCAGCACCTGACCTCTAACGCACAGTAAACCCAGCACAGCTCTCTTCACATTCTTCTAAGGATTTATACAAGGACAGCAAGGAAACCTACCTGCCTCATAAACCTACCCTGTCTCTCACGCTATGCCTCTTTATGGTTCCACATCCCTCTACAGGAGAAGTTTGAAGTTCTGAAATTTAAAATCGAAGTTTATCTAAATTAAAGACTGAGCAATGGAGCTTTCTCTTTTCCCAACTCTAACAGGAGTGATATTTGAAAAAAATCCACAATGGACTTACTCCAATTGCACAAATACTTATCAAGAATCTACTGCCTGCAAAACACCACACTAAGCACCACGAGAAAGATTCAGAAATGAAGACTGTTTGAATGATGCTTGTGATCTGTAAGGCACAAACGCATAAATAAATTATGAGCATAAGGCAGGCAACTATCCTATTAGAACATAAAGGATAAAAAGGGATTCTCTTTTCCTCCTGGGAGAATTGAGAAAGGGAGTTTGACACAGGTTGGCATTGACATGGCTCTGAAGGAAAGGACTTCAGCAAGTGACCCCCAGTGGCAGCAGCTGTTTTCCACCTGCAGATTCAAGGAGGGAAGAAGCAGGAAGTTGTGAATACCTAGATGTGGCTTGAATATGTTTTGGGTAGAGAGTGTTGGGGAGGTGAGAAGGAGCAGTAGCTATGGAAAACAGACTAAGGAGTTTGGACTATTTTCTCTGTGAAAGAGGAAAGAATTAAATGTTCTTTAAAATGAGCGAAATGCTGTTAGAATGGAGTGTGCATGGAGTCAAGACCGGACTGTTACGATAGCACAGCGAGAGAAGCTGGAGACGGTGGTCATGGGCTTGAGCTCCTAGAGCTCCTAATCAAGCCTCATCTTTCTCAGGCAAGTGTCAGGGAGCCAAACATGTTAAGGTGGAGATGCAATAGCTCTGTAGATACAAAGAACAAGGGGCCCAAGTGTCATCACTGGACACATGTGTAATACCTGGGACACTTGTCACAGACATGGCCACCTGGATTTATGCTACAACCTGAGGTCTGCAGTCACAACCCTTTCTGCTAGCTGCTTCGGTGAAGAATGAAGCCAGACCAATGTGGGATGGAGCAAGTCTCCAACACTACATGCTTAACAAATGGTGACATAGGCTGAGCTTTTCAGATTTAATGACAAGATGAGCATGTCCAGTATCATGTACCGCACTGGTCAGAATTGTGTACCATGCTAGTCAGTATCCTGTACTGTTCTGGTCAATATATATCATAGACCCTGCTGGTCAGTATCATGGACCTTGCTGGTCAATGTCATGTACCACGCTGGTCAGTATCAGCTACTTTGCTGGTTGGTATCATGGACGGTGCTGATCAGTATCGTGTACCGTGCTCGTCGGTATCATGTACCATGCTGGTTATTCCCCAACTCCACTAGGATCTGCTCTGTGCCTGGGGGCCTGAGCTCTACAAAATACATCTTCCCTCCCCTCTGGTTTCCAGCTGGGCTTCAGTCTAACCTTGGACACCACCCAGCAATGTCCCTTAACTCTGCCCATACCTCTGTACCTAGTCCCATCAATTATTATCTTCTAAGAACAATAAATTCTTGTCAGTGTGCCATCTGTTTCTTGCCGGGATCGTGACAAATATATTAATCCTCTCTATATGTGCCATCAATCCTTGTAGCAACCCTGAAAGGTATTGTTTCCATTCTGTAGATAAGAGAAATGAGGCACAAAGAGGCTAAGAGATTTTCTGTGGCAGAGGCCATAATGCTCACCTGTTACAATGCCCCCATGCCTCCATCCCAGCCCTGAGAGAAGGGGCACTGTATGATCAGTTCTGGCCAATAGGCTACAAGATAAAGTGATGAGCTGGATGTGGCAAAGCATACCTGTAATCCCAGCACTTTGGGAGGCTAAGGAGGGAGGATTGCTTGAGGCCAGGAATTCGAGATTGGCCTGGGAAACATAGTGAGACCCCATCTCTACAAAAAAAAATTTAATTAGCTGGGTGTGATGTTACGTGCCTGTGGTCCCAACTACTTGGGAGGCTGACATGGAAGGTCCGCTTGAGTCTGGGCAGTCAAGGTTGCAGTGAGCCACTGCACGCAAGCCTATGTGATAGAGTGAGACCCTGTCTCTAATAATAATAGTAAACATTTAAAAATAAAAAGTGACATATGGACATGGTGCAGGGAGGTGTGGGCGCCTCTCTGTCAGGGCAATCTGGGGACCTGGAGGTGGGAGTTGCATGAGGTGAACAGTGCGTGTTGCTTAGCCATTGGAAATAAGACAGCTTCCTCACACCCACAACCAACTTTATCTGAGTGAAGTACAAACTTTCATGTGTGAAGCCAAGAGATGTGTTACCATATACCCATCCAAGCCATCTGCTTTCCTAAGGTCACTAGCAAATGGCAGAACCAGGATATAAGCAGGATACAGGACAGCTGTACATCCTGTGCTTTGTACAAGGAATTAATTAGGAGGAAGAAAAAGCAAAACAAAACAGTACTAGGCCAAGTGAAACCAAAGCCTAGGGCATTTTCTTTTGCTTACTTTTTCCACAGTTGTTCTGCCCTTCCTAGTACATCCACCCATCAAGCCAGGAGCTTAAATTTCCTGAGTGCTTGACACATGCAAAGAAATGTGTTACATATGTTGTCTTGTCCTTACAGGAGGCATGCACAATTATTATCCATGGTTTTTATTTGAGCCCACTGAGTTCAGAGGGGTTAAGTAATGTTTGAAGTTCATATAGGTGGTGTCAGAACTGGGATTTTTAACCCAAGATGTGTGACATCAAAGCATAATCTTATGCTATGACATAGCATAAGATTTTTGCCAAAGCTGACAGGAAGGGTGGCATGAAAATGGTCACACACACACACACATACACACACACACACACACCTCGAGCCACCTAAGATTGAAGGGCGCCGATCCAACAAACTACAATGTTACCCCAAGGCCCCGCCACTGCACTTAAGCAAATGTTCTCAGCAGCCAAGATAAAGTAGCTTTTAATCAGAAAGCTTAGTGCTGTGCTTGGGAACTCCACTGCTATTTCTATGCTTGAAGAGTTTCTGTTTTGCAAGATCAATGGTCCGGGTTTTGAAAACTAGCTATTTAGGTAAATGCGTGCTATGGAAACTGAGGGGTGTGCTTATCAAGGTGGCTCTCCATGCCTAGGCAACCACAGGGTCACAGGGTGCTTACTGTGGTGGGACATTCACCCACCAGCAAGTCCATGGAAACCATTCCTCTAGGAAATCATGACATTTGGCACAGAATGGGCCTGACCTGTGGAGCACACCCACCATCCAGATGTCCATCTTTTACATCATGGTGAATCAAACACACCAGGGATCTCCAAACCACCCAGCACAACTCACTCTTACTTAGTAATAACATTTCCTTCTTTCATCCTGTGTATTTCTTTTTCTTTTTTCACGAGCCTTGTTCTGTTGACCAGGCTGAAGTGCAGTGGTGTAATTTTGATTCATTGCAGCATCAATCTCCTGGGTTCAATGGGTCCTCCTGCCTCAGCCTCCTGAGTAGCTGTGGCTACAGGCATGTGCCACCAGACCCAGCTAATTTTTTTTTTTCAGACAGACTCTTGCTCTGTTGCCCAGTCTGGAGGGCAATGGTGTGATTTCGGCTCACTGCAACCTCCACCTCCCG